TTAATATTTTAGTTACCTCAGGATGCTGGCTTTCGAACGAACTTCCTTCCGGCTGTAGGCAAAAACTACACTCTGCAAAAAAGTGACTACTTATGCAGCATGCATTTTTCTCATTGATTTTCGATGCCGTTAAAAGTCCAATTATATTTCATGGAAAACATGCATAAAATATTCATTCTTTTGCTCATTTCGTAAACAATTACGTCTTCTTCCAACCTTATGCTCAAAGGAAGAGTATACTTCGATTTTCAAAAACTTTTCCAATTCCCGGATAATTTTGAACTCGCTCTACCGTTACAATTGAATTCAGGGTTTCCAAACTATAAGCCGTATATTTTCTGCGTACGGAAAACTATGCATTTCTCTACGATATTAAGGGGAGACCACATGGGGTTCATAAAATTAAGCGGCGGATCCATATTGTTAAATTTACGAGCCACATTGGTAAATTCAGAGACATGACGATTTATGAACGGCCATTTCACGGTATTTAAATTCCCACAATTAGAACCTTTTTTAAAACCAGATTGCTTCCCTCCTTCGAGTATAAAATTGAAAAAAATGTAATTTGCTACCGAATGAGGGAAAGAATGGATATTTTTATGTATATTTCCATGAAATATAATCGAACATTTAGAGGCTTCGAAAATCAATGAGAAAAATTCATGCTGTTTAAGTAGTCATTTTATACAGAGTGTAATTTTTGCATGCAGCCAGAAGGAAGTTCGTTCGAAAGCCAGCATCCTAAGGTAACTAAAATATTAAAGAATCAGGTGGCTGGCTGACTAGCTTTACAACCCTACTTAATAAATCTTTTCGAAACGAAAACGCATTTCGGAATTTCGGTTGACATTTTATAAGTTAGACCGCCTACTGCTTGGGGTTAGGGTCTGTGTTAGGTTTAGGGTTAGGCTTAGTGATGATTTTAGAGTTAGCGCTAGGTTTACAATTACGTTAAGGTTTGGGTTTACGTCTTAGGCTACGGTTAGGATTAACGCTGGGTTTGGCCTATTGCTGCTCCGTGTGTCCAATCAACCAGGTGTTTTTGCGGCTAATTTTCACCGTATCCGGAACTATAACAGTAACTTTAGCCCTAATCTTAACATTGAACGTAAATCTAAACCACAATCCAAACCATAACCATAACAGTAAACCTAACCCTAATTCTGAGACCAACCCGAACGCCTTAAACTTGGCGCAAATCCTAACCCTAAGGTTACTTCTAAGCCTGACATTAACCCAAACCCTAAAGCTAACCCTAACTCTAAACCGAAACCTCAGGTCGCCCTTTTCCGTTCTAGCTTCGGCTACTTTCCCACTAACGATTTCAGCATCCACTTTTGACTTACTTCCCTTTCAATACCCCGTTGCCCTTACAATTGGGACCCGGGCAGCGTAACCGATCCTTGCCTAACTATGACTCCCCCATGAGAAATGAATGACTGAACCCATTGTACTTAGATCAGATCAGATCAGATTTATTAAGGGAAAAGTAGGCGAGCGCCTTTGAACTCCCTTTTGGTTACAATAACGTCATAAAAAAAACAATGTGTAAGGCAAGTGTGAAAAAAATTCGGTAAGTAATTACATACAACAAGCATTGGTTCCTGGTATGAATCTGTCTGTGAATGCCTTCTATGTCAAAATTGTACAATATCCAGTACGGTACTGAATGGACCAAGTGATATCAAAGCAAGCGCATATGTGGCGGTCAGGAGATAGCAAAAATTGTAAAACGTAATGTTACTAAAATATAGGGAGTAGCATACTTTGTAACATAAAACGTTCGATGGGGCGGGTGGCACAGGGGGGGGAATTCGTTAGTTTCTGGTGCTGTGGAGGTACATATCCCTGTACTGGTCAAGCTTCCTCTTAAATGAGTCCACGGATGAGGACATGACGACGTCCACAGGCAGGGCGTTCCATGCCTTTACCACTCTGTGGCTGAAGAAGGACCTCCTTGCGTCCAGTCTCGCTCCTGTCACACGTAGTTTCAGAGGGTGTCCTCAAGCTAGTAGTGGTGGCCAGCTCAAAGAAATCGCCGGATGCGAGGCAGCAGTCCTGACCCCGTAACATTCTAAACGTTTGAATTAAATCGCCATGGAGTTGTCTGTAGTCCAGGGGAAAGAGGTTAAGATTTGACAGTCTAGTTTCGTAAGGTAGGTTTTGATGACCTCTGACAAGCTTGGTTGCCCGTCGTTGGACTTTTTCGAGGGTGGTACGATCCTTACCAGTCCAGGGTCTCCAGGCCGGAATGGCAAATTCTAACTGTGGGCGCACAAACATCCCGAAGACCTTGCGAAAGCACTCTTCGTCGAACTTGGCAAATGCCCGCTTAATGAGATATAAGCTGGACATCGCGGATTTCGCTGCTTTCAAGCAGTGGACTTATGGCTTTAGTGAAGATGTTATCCACACCCCTAGGTCTTTCTGAACCTCCACCAATGGCAGCGGTGTGTCATTTAGATAGTACGTCTTCTGGTGCGCAGAGCTGGTTCTGCCAATCCTCGGAATGTTGCATTTGGTAACAGTAGATGGGAGGAGCCAGTGGCCTGACAATTTTTCGAGTCGGTCTAAGTTTGCCTGTAAATTTGCTTCATCGTCCTCGTTGCGGATGACGGTCCAAAGCTTTATATCGTCAGCAAACATGGCAATTTTGCAGTCCAATCCATGGATACAGTCATCAATATAGATGAGGAAGAGGATAGGGCCAAGAACGGAGCCCTGAGGTACTCCGCTCGTAACCGTCACCATTTATGACACAAGACTTTAATACACTGTCAAAAACATATGTTTCCGCTACAGTACGACTGCTCACGGCTGCGAGTTTGAAGAGTCGTTCCACAAATGAACTGTAGCATCATTGGACACGCGCTCGCGCCTCAGACTCCTGACCAAGGCCTGAATTTTCGGTGGCTGTCGTTTAATCTCTCGTGGTGACGGCTACTACAGGAGGAATAACTACTTCAGTTGTCCTAATCGTTGATAGTAATAGACTTTGCCACATTCCGATGAGTTCTAGATTAATAGATGCCCAACTGACTCCTGCACAGAAGAGGCAGCATCACTGAAGCCAAGGCAACCTCCAGTCTGGAATTCCGAGTGAAGTTAAGTGTGTAGTGGCTCTACTCCAAGCGCTTGACGTAACGCGGGACCCCTAGCGAGTGTCTACACGTGCGTACCAGGGCTGTTTGACGTTCCTCTGTCGAAAGTGGTGTGGTCGACAAGATAAAGATTCCCAATCAAAAGTCAGGGAAGACGGTTTGAGTTGGACAACCTTCACTGCCTGAGGAAGTGCGTACACAAGGGCTCTGTAGGCAGTCGCCTCAAGCGCGCTCCAGGCAAGCTGTTGTCTGTGTCCGCCTTCGAGGTGTTGTTTCAGCGCGTGTGTGCGCTCCTCGTTGTCTCCACGCCCGCCAGCCAATCAGAGTGGGGACAGCGTTGATTGGCTTCGAGCACTCGCGCGTCCCAGCAGCGTATCGACACGGAGTGTGAGGCGGACAGGACGGCAGCGTGACAAAGGCGGAGGGCGAGGAGACGCGAACTGCCACACGTCTAGTCGGTTCTCCAACTGGCTAATCAGATCCAAGGCCGAGCCTGATGGCCCCTGGTTTGAGACACTTTGACGCATTTCCAGACCTACATTTGGGACGCTGCTCGCCCGGCGCCGGATGTGCCTTCGTCAAGCCACCAACGCCCACCAACTCCTTCCCCAGTTATTCGGTCCAGGATACATCATCCTCCCCACTGGCGTCCACCTTCTCTTTCCATTTGGGACCGGGCCTGAAGGTCGTGTTAGCCAGGGTCACACTCGCGGCCTGGGCTTCAGCGACAGGTCTTCACTGGGACATCCGTCCCCATGGCGCATCATCGTGTTACGACCCGGAAGGAAGGTAGGACAGGAAGAGAGCCGGTTCGGAGGACAAGCGCTTTATTGGTAACTTGCGGACACGGGGGGTTACAACTCGTAAGAAAGGTGTGCTATTTATATTGGCTCCCGTGTGTTCTGGAACATTCCGTCCAATGACCTGCCAGCCGTTTAGGGCGTTCTAGAATGTTCCTGCCTCGAGCGTGCTGGTCGCTGATTGGCCACCGCGTGCGCGATAGCCCCCCCCCGCGGAAACGTCTGGAATGTTTGACCAGCTATTGATTGGGCCGCACACGTGAGCATAGCTACCACGCCCGCTCGGCGCTGCAGTGCGCGCCGGTCGGCCGTCTAACCCCACGCGTGACTCACGTCGCCGGTTTGGTCCCCTGTTTAGCGCCTTAGGCCGTGGCTCTACGCCGCTTTCACTCTCCATAACAATCGCATTCCTCTTTGCAATAAATCTGATGCTCCTGAATCTATGACAACGTGCTAGAAGGCCGCCGGCTGACAGGGTAACTCGATCCTCCCTGAACTGATAGTCAAACCGAATGTGCCCTTGAGAATGTCATCCTTATGGCGTTCGCGTGTACGTGAGATCCTAGTCGAGTCTATCCAAGCCCGATGTATTCTGCCTGATCGGGTCGCGTGTAGGACGCGTAGATGGCCACCGCGCCTAAGCCCACCTCTCGGTTCTGTTTTGCCACTGCAGTCGGGCGGACGAGGGAAAAGATAGTACGAAAGATCTCACGAAAGTCTTTCCCTCAATAAAATACTTTAGACTCATATCCCCCCCCTGTATGGTTGGCATCATCGTTCACGGTGGTTGAAAATAAGTGAATTGACAACAAAGAAGGCACTTGCTCTGCCTATACTTGTCGCCGGCAACCATCATGGCCATGTCCGGCATCTTCGACCGAGGCCGCGTTGAGTCAAGGTCATTCAACTTCGCGGAGAGCGCTTCCAGAAGCGCTGACTTACAGCCATTCGACCGTCCTCAACATGGAGCTGCCCATGCTCCATTTCGACGCACCATCCACTAGGTCAACGTCGGTTATATATGCTAAAGGACATTTTTGAGTCGCAAGAGATCGCATAGATTTTTCGAGAGCGAGATCAGGTGAAGGTTGCACCAATGGGTTCGCCGATTTCGGGGTTCGTCGCCCAGGCGTTCCTGCAACGGTTAGAGTCGCTGGTCTTCCAACACCAAAGACCGAAGTTCTGGGCCTGGTGTGTGGACGATTACTTCGTCGTTATCGACTGGGATAAACTGCTGATACTCAAGGCACATCCGAATGCGGTCTTTCTGGGCATACAATCGGAAGAGGAGGAGGAGGAGGAGGAGGAGGAGGAGGAGCAGGAGCAGGAGGAAGAGGAGGAGGAATAGAAGAAGCAACCGGCCTTCCTGGATGTCCTCGTATGCCGCAAAGATTGTGGTGACCTAAAGACCAAAGTGTTCAGGAAAGCGTGTGGACCGTTTTTTTTCGTTAGCCGCCGCGCCCAAGCCCGCCTCTCGGTTCTGTTTCGCCACTGGAGTCGGGCGGGCGAGGGAAAAGTCAGTGCGGAAGCTGTTCAGTTCAGTTTATTAAAGGAAAGGTAGGCAAACGCTCTAGAACTCCCTCTGGTTACAATAACGTCACAAAAAACATTATGTAAAGCAAGTGTGGAAGAAGAGTAGGTAATTATATATATACAACAAGCATGTGGTACTTGTATGAATGTGCCAGTTTATGCAGACCATGTCAAAATTATGGATTAATCATTACGCGGTACTGAAATGATCCAAGTAATATGGAAAGGAACGCTTATGCTTCAGTCAGGATTCATTGGTTCGAATTTAAACGTCCTACGGAGGCGTTTAACGAAAAAAATATAGAATAATGTTACCTAAATGTAGGGAGCACCATACCTTGTAGCGTATAACGCTCGGGGTAGTATATGGGGATGAATTTCTTAGCTTCCGATGACGTGGTGATACATATCTCTGTAGCGTTCAAGCTTCCTCTTAAATGTGTCCACGGACGAGGACATGACGACGTCCACAGGCAGAGCATTCCATACCTTGGTTGGGCTGAAGAAGAATTTCCTTGCGTCCACTCTTGCATCAGTCACGCGTAGTGGTAGCCGGCCCAAATCACTCGCTGGATGCGAGGCAACAATCTCGACCCCGCAGCAAGCGCCACGTAACTGTCTGTAGTCCAGGGAAAGGAGATCTAGAATGGTCAGTCAAGTTTCGTGAGGTAGGTTTTTCTGACCGCTGACAACCTCGGTTGCCGTGGTTGGAGCTTTAACAGGCCAGGGTCTCCAGGCCTGAATGGAAACTTCCAACTGTGGCCACACGAACATCCGGAAGACCTTGCTAAGGCACTCTTCGTCAAACTTCGCGAATGCCCGCTTGATTAAATATATACTGAACATTGCGGATTCTGCTAATTTAGAGCAGGGGAATGACGGTTTTAGTGAGAATGATACTCGAGTCTGTCATCCAATAAAATACTTTAGACTCAAGTCCCCCGTACTACATCCATTCCGTTGGGCATATGGTGGATATCATCGTTCACGGTGGTTAAAAATAGTTCAACTGACATCGAAGAAGGCCTTTTGATCTGTCCGTGATTGTTGTCGGCAGCCATCAGGGCCATGCCCGGCGTCGTTGTTCAAGGCCGCGCTGTGTCAAGGTCATTCATTTTCATGGCGAGCGCTTCCAGACGCGCTGACCTGCAGCCACTCAACCGACTTCAACTCGGACGCACTTGCTCCGCACAGGGTCGCAGCCGCCCATGCGCCATCCCATCCCACCTGCAACACAAACCACTTGAACACCAAGCCTCGGCAAATGCAACATACACACTGATCGTACCCTACTTGAGCTTGCTGTACGAGCCTACAAATGCAGAAGGACTCTTAGGTAGGACTGGACACAGGCGAGACCAGTCCTGGCTTCGCCACTGGCAACTGCCGCCTGAAAGGACAACTCATTCTGATGATTCCTGTCTTTTCCCTCAACTCGGGAGTTGGTCCGATGATTATAGCGCTCTGAGTACACCTTTCCACTGCTTAGACGTTACATAATGCCGGTTTCACGCAGTATATAGGCTTGAATGCAGCAAAAAAGGCAGGCACTGGATGAACCTCGGTTATGTGTGCTAAAGGACGATTTTTGGGCCACAGCAGGTCCCACAGATTTGCATATATCGGGAGCAAGACAAGCCTTGAATTGCTTGAAACCTGGATATCGGAGGAGAACTGAATCAAACGATGTTTGGATCTGGTGCCCGCATTTGGAATCCTATGTGGTCATCTCCAGACCGGTGACACGGGTCCTCGTTTGGCCAAGTACCCGCGTCGTTTCTTTACACTGACGCCGTCATCGCGGACGAAGGACTCCTACAAGAGTTCGAAATCGCAGAAGGAGAAACATGCGACTCAGGTGCTCGAGTAATATCTCCTTCCCTACTAATACGTTCATTTGAGACCCGAAAATTCCTCGTCCTTAATGGACAAACACAGCGGCAGATAATCAGTGAATTGTCTCTTAGTAAACACACTTATTCTCCATGAACAATTTTTCGAATCTCTTCTTATTTGCCGCCAAATTCCGCCGCCATTGATGCTGAAGATGAAGAAACCGATTCAATGAGGATAAATTGGATGAATTAGGAATGTGACTTCCGCAGGTAACTTCCGTCATCAAATGCCGGACAGGTTGTGGTTGCATTGGGAATGAGTAACTTGCACTTTTTGCTGAATGGTTCATCCAGCTATCAGGTGATTGATCAAACAGGTTCATGTCGGAAGACGAAAATGCGATCACTGGAACACGAAATTTATTGGCCTGATGTTTCGGATTCTCACTCGAATCCATCACCAGTAACAGTGCCCATGCGCCACTTGGACGCACCATCCCCTCCAACCTGCAACACAAGCCACTTGAACTCCAATCCTCGACAACTGCAACACGTACCGATTGGACCTCATTTGAGCTTGCTGTGCGAGTTTACAAAAGCAGAAGGACTCTCAGATATGACTGGACACAGGTCCACTCATTGTTCTGTAAAAAAATAGACCCCTCATTCTGGTGACTCCTGTCTTTTCCCTCAACTCGGGAGTTGGCCCGGTGAGTAGACATTAGACGATGCATAATGCCGGTTTGACGCAATATAGACTTGAATGGAGCGAAAAAGGCAGCCCCTGGGTCAACGTGCGACCACACATTCAAATTGAACGAGGCCGAAATTCTCGCTAGAAGTGACAACCGCGTGAGCTGGGAGCTGCTTGAGTTATGGTTTACTGGCCCCCCAGTCCATTAACAAGGGCAATGTTCTTCCCCTTCCATAGTTGCTGTTGCGACTTCGTCTGGGCGAAATAATCAGCCACGCGGGGAGCGCAAATGTGAACACTTTTCCCAACTCCAGGGTCGGTGGGTCAGACGGTCGAACAATCATCACACCAGAATCCAGCGCACGTGACAAAATTGCAGCAATTAACGGCGCGAATATCGAACATCAAGCAGTCATCACACCACGTGCAACGATCCCCGATGAAGGGGGGAGCCGTGACTGTTCATAGGTATGCGGTAGCATGGCGACAGCATTCTATGGATTCCGCAGCCCCTCGTGCATGAACCACCAGTAGCTGCTGTTGTCTCTGATGATGCGTTCGAACAGGAATTCGAAACGTCAGGCGAATAAAGCTCTTGTTCCAGCGGTCGTGCCCCCTTCTTCACAGCCACTGGGTCAACCTCGGCTACTTATGCTTAAGGCCATTTTCTGAGCCACAACAGGTCGCCCAGATTTGCCTATGTCGGGAGCAAGACAAGCCTTGAATTGCTTGAAGCCTGGATCTCGGACGAGAACTGGATCAATCGATGTTTGGATCTGGTGCCCGCATTCGGAGTCACCTTCATTCCTGTGAAACTGGTCGTCGATTGGTCAAATACGCGCATGCTGCTGCCGTCAACGCACACGATGGAATCCTACAGGATTTAAAAATCGCAGAAAAAGAAACATCTGATTCACGGGCTGGATTAGTGTCTCCTCCCCTATTCATACATTCACTTGGAAATCAAAAAATCTCTCGTCATTAATGAACTAACACAGCGGCTGCTAATCAGTAAATTGTCTCTTAGTAGATACACTTATTCTCCATGCACAATTTTCCGAATCTCCTCTTATTTGTCACTAAGTTACACTGCCATTGCTGCCGAAGATGAAGAAACCGACTCTATGAATAATCTGTATGAGTTAGAAATGCGACTTCCGCAGGTAACTTCCTTCATCAAATGCCTGACAGATTATAGCTGCATCGAGAATGCGTAATCAACACTTTTTGCAGAATGGCTTAACCGGCTATCAGGCGATTAGTCGAACACTTTCATGTCGGTTACTATGGCGTCTCCGTCACTTGTTAAGTTGAAGTTCCGCGAAATTGTATTTGGACGATAATTCTAGTTACCGAACGAACAGGAGGTTGTCATTAAGAAGTTTGGCCAAAAAAGAAATATCAAGATAGGTGCATTTTTAGACACCCGGCTAACATTACAAGGTAGGAAATGTCCACTTGTCTGCTTTAATGTGTTTCATAGAAAGAAGAACGGAATCACGGTAACGTCCTTTGGGGTGAATGACAAATATGACTGTATGCCGACCGAGAAGGTCGAAACGGCAAAAATTTTCAAAGGGGAATGGTTTACAGAACTTTCGTAGTTGCTCTGATTGCCGTCCCATAACGTGTATGCTGTAGCAAAAGAGGAAACACTAGTTGTTAACCAACAGAGAGTAAAAGGTTTGAAGGGCGTCTGTCGTAAAGTGTCTGAATGTACTATACTCGATAAAAAATAATTACTTATTAGCATACATTTCGCCCATCAATTTTGACTGCCCTTATAAATTCAAAAATATTTCGCATGAAAGACATATAAAAGTATTCTTACTTGTATTCGTTTCATGGCAAATCAAGTCTTCTTCAAACTTTTTTTTACTCGAAGTAAGGGTATCTTTTGGCTATGAAAGGGTTTTAAATTATGAGTTTTTTTAACGTGCAATGCCCGTTCAAAGAGCATCGTGTACGTATGTTTAATAATGCTTCACATTAAGAATACAACGTAATCCACCTTTGTTACAACATTTCGCGAACCCCATGTAATATTTTATTAATGGAATAGAGGAATGTATGTTTTTTTCCTACACGGAAAGTATGCAGCTTAAAGACTCTAAACCTCGAACGAATATGCACTGGCAGATCGAGTTGAAAATTATGAGAGAATCGAGAAAAATTCAGAACCAAATTAACCCTCTCTTTAAATATAACATTCGAAAAACACAGGATTCGTTATTGAATGAGCAAGCGAGAGAGTTTTTTATGGGGATTTTCCATAAAATTTGTTTG